ATTACTTCATATCATTTCAGTATCCATTCTCTAATACTTGGAACATATTTTGATTTCCATTTTTGAACCAACACTATTCTAGCTGTAGTAATTAGGTATAAGAGAACTTTCCCATAATCTCTATCTCTTTCCTTTCCCCACATATTCAATAAATATATCTCTGGTTGCATCTGAACTTTCACCTTTAACATAGAGTTAATAATTTCATTCACCTTTTTCCAGTAACCTTTCACAAATTTACATGACCATGAACAGTGGTATAATTAACCTGGTTCATTCCCGCATTTCCAACAAATGTTATTTGCATTCTTATAAATTTTAGATATTTGCATTGGTGTTAAATACCATCTGTAAAATGTTTTGTAAACATTTTCTTTAATACTTTGGGAAGCTGTATAATTTAATCTCTTACCCCAAGCCAATTCCCACATTTCTAATTGTATTGGATGACCAATGTCTTTTGCCCAACTAATCATGTTCTCTTTTATTATATCCTCTTCGAGATCCCACCTCAAAAGAATTTTATAAAATTTCCCCATTTCCTTTTGCTCTTTTCCCAACCAAATCTTACTAAATTCATTTGTTTGTAAATCAATTCCCTGAATTTTATGATCAGATTTATAGCATTCCACGATTTGTCTGTATCGAAACCAATCTAGTCGAAATCCTTTAGGGATTTTAATTCATAAGTATCTGTTGAGGTTTCTCTCAATAGATTACCATAAGTGATCCAATTCATTTCTTTCTGCATTTCTTTTCTATGAATTGCTTCATGGGGCGAAAACCACTTTGGAAATTTGGGCATAATTCTCTCTTTATACTTGTTCCGTATTTTGAGTGTTGCCCTTCTTATGCAATGATTATTGAAAGCTTTGTTAGCTTTAATTTTCCCATAACTCAGATAGGCATGCCAGCCAAAACATAAAGCATCACTCTCTAACTCTAGGAGATCCTTATTTTCTAGAGTTACCCAATCTTTAATCCACACCATACAACAGGCCTCGAAATACAATTTTAAATTAGGCAATCCCTCCCACCTCTTTCACACAGATCTTGTAAAGTTTTTAGTCTTATTCTTGGTCTCTTGTTTAGCCAAATAAAATTGCATAAATCTTTGTGCCACATTTTAAAGATATCCTCTTTTATTATTATTGGCAACATTTGGAAAAGGAAATTCATTTTGGGTAAAATCTTCATTTTAATTATTGCAATCCATCCTGATATTGTAAATTGTTTTTTATTCCAAACATTCAATTGTCTTTTGATCTCTTTCCAAGTTTTCTTATAATTTTATCCACTAATTCAAGTGTGTTTTTTTTAATTGTTATACCCAAATATTTTGTTTTGTTCTTAATATTTATACCTGTAATATCATTTAATTCCTTTTCCTCTTTTGTGTTTAAATTTTTGGTAATTATTGTTCATTTTTCTTTGTTTAATTTACATCCTGTTATCTTCCCGAAAGTCTCAATTACATCCATTAAATATTTTGCTTGTTCTTTTGGGTTTTCCAGAATTATAACAATGTCATAGGCAAAGGCTCTTATTTTATAATTAGTTCTTTTGATTTTTAGACCCTTGATTAAATCATGGTTCTTAACCTCTAATCTCTCTATCATGATCAAAAACAATAGAGGAGGTAGGGGGCAACCTTGCCAAGTACCTCTCTTAATATTAACATAATCAGTCCTATCACCATTAATAATAATTTTTGCTTTTTGTTCTTTATAAATTTTTTATCCAATTAGTGAAATTATGGCCTAATTTCATTTTATCTAAAATTTCAAAGAGTGTTTGCCAATTTACACTATCAAAGGCTTTCTCCAAATCTATAAACAGCATACCCAATCCTTTTTCATTATGTCTATCAAAATATTCTATAACATCAATTACTATTCTTAAGTTTTCCTGCATTTGTCTTTGCGGGAGAAAGCCTCTTTGGTCGTGGTCTATCCAATT